TTAATTGAATTTTATTTGTCAAAAATTAAATTAATGGATAAAAACTTAAATCTATTTTTTTTCTCATTATTTTTATGATTTTTGTTGATAAAAAAAGAAAAGAAATGTTAATTAAATAAAATAAACAAAATTGTAATGGGCCAGTGTTTGTAAAAAGTAATCATGGGGGGGGGGGGGGGGGGTGTTGGTGGCGTCCAAGCCCAAGAAGGTTATTTTTTTTGTTTGAAACAAAACAAAATAGCAATAATAAAATAAAAGTTTAGAATGAGCCTGAGTATAAACAAGTAGAATGGGGGGTGAAAAATAGCAAAAATCCCAGGCCCAACATAGAGAGAAAAACACCTATTTGCAATCCAGTATGGCCAGCCTTTGATGGTTCATGGTGGATGCTTGCATATGGAACGTCCATATTAGATATAGGGAGATCAGATGGTGATGGTGATAGGTGCATGGTACGCGCGTTGGAACAGCCTGCACATGATCTCAAAGAAGCAAATATGTGAAAATTAAAAGGATACCGCTGGGGATCGAACTCAGGTCCCTAAGGTAAACAGGCTCGCACTTTAACCACTAGGGTGGTGATACATCCGTTGGTTTATACACAAACTAATAAATATATTACAAACTCCTTCCTTAATGTAACTTCATCTTCTTTCTCGCGCCAGTAGCCATGAACAATTTTTTTGAATTCTGTAAAATGCTCATTTCTCAACCAAATCAGAAAATGTAAACATCAAACGTGTTTGAAATTTAACTACGAATCCAACCATATATATTTCAAAAGCTATAGATCAAAGATGAGTGAGAATTTTACTTGGTACCAAACTGAACCCTAAAATTTCAGAAACTTTAGTTTCAAAATTCTCATCACTCAGAAAAGATAAATGAAATGTAAGCACATGGTTAGCTTCGGGGCAATGATGTCTACATTTTTTATTCAGAAAGTAAACATTAATGATGCTTGTACAGAAATTTCAAAGTTTAGAAAACTTACCTCAAAAGTGAGAATCGTGTTTGAAGTTGGAGCACTCCTGGAGATGTTGTGATAATCTGGATAGCTTCACTAAACTCCCAGGAAGCTATTGCACTGCTTACTTTGGATTGAGAGTGCCTTGATTTTTCCGGACAAGTCAAGTTGCAGGACTCTGTTTGTGAAAATAGATGATGATGAAAATGATGTTACAGTGACGAAACAGGGTCTTGGATAAGTTCTATGTGAGTTATAGAAGCTTTGTGAATTATTTAAAATGAAAACGCACGAGTGGATTAGGTGTTTGGAGTTCAAGGTCAGAAATTGAAAGCAATGGGGTTTTGGATGCAAATTCTGATTTAGGAGAGCTTGAGAGGGTTAGAGGGCTTATGAAATCGTGTATTAGCTTGCAAACACTTACTCTATATATAGAGAAAAGGTTTTAGAGGCAGAGAGGGCTTGATTTTCAAAATCACATGTTATGGCTAGGTTGGATTGTACATGAAGCAAACTTGAAGAACATGGTTCCAATGTGAAGTACAGGGAAATATAAAGTGGTTAGGCACTTTAAACAAGTTACTTCTGGCTTTTATGTTGAGTGTGTGCAGAGGGAGCAAGTGAGAGGCTCAATGCATTGACTTTATGATTAAAGCTTGCTTTACAAGAATGGAAATGTAACCTTTCTCCCTAAAATGGAAAATGGTTTGGACAATGCTTAAATCAAATGGACCATAGCTCAAAAGTTTGTGTAAACATTTGATTATGGAGTGATTGGAAGTTAGAATCCTGCAAAGCAAGATTTATGTAGCATGACTTGGAGATTTGATCTCATGTTCATCACAAAATGACTTGTGTTTCAAGAATGGATGCCCAACTTCATCTATTTGAATCTCCTTGATCAAGCATGATAAAAATGTGTTCTTGGACATTTTGGAAAGCTTGAAACATTGTCTACAACTTTCATGTTGACCAATTTGGATAAATCAACTTGGAACTTGGTGAAAAATTGTCAAGAAGTTGGGACAAAAATCTGACCAAACTTGTTGAAAATTTCTCTAAGTGTTAGATAAAAATGTAATGAATTCATGGGCCTATATCTCTTAATCCAACCATTTTTGGCCATCATTTCTCAAAGACAAAGTTGTAAAATTCATCATGCTCTACAACTTTCATGTTGAAAGTTTTCCTTGAATCATCTTGTATCTTAGTGAAAAATGGTCATGAAGTAGTAAAATTTATTAAGGACAAAACACTTAGAATTTTTCTAAGTATTGGAAATTTTGACATTTTGTTGACTTTGTGATTCTTGTTGATAAAGCTTGACAAATTTTAATGTTTTGATGACTCTTGATCTTTGAAGTTCAAAGTTGACCAAAAAGTCAAAGTTTGACTTTTGTGTGATAGTTGACTTTTCATCAGTTGATCTCAATTTTTCAACTATCAATCTCTTGCACCTTTGGAAATGTCTTGAACCATGTAATTAGGTAAAGATATTGTGTTTGAGTCCTTAATATCATGCTTCAAGTCATTAGGTCATGTACTAGGTCAAAAGTCAATGATCAATCATTCTCAGTCAAAGCCCTAATTTTCACAATTTTGCCCCTTTGATGATTTGAGGGATTTCATTGAGTAATTATGATCAACCCTTGATAAAGTGATGAATATCACATCAAAATATTGATGTTGGCAAAAAATCTTAAAGTTTAACTGTATGTTGACCATAATTGACTTTTTACCCAATACAGTTGATTTTCGGTCATCTGAGCAATTGGATGAGCAAATTTGTGATGCAAGACTTGAAACTTGGTATGATAATTCTTGGAGACTTATGATGAACCATGGAAGTCACTTGAGGCATTATAAGTCCAATTTTCCTTGAGAAAACCAAAACCCTAGTTAGCGGCCCAATGCTTAGGAGGTGAACTTGTCTGATCAGCTCTTGAGAATCCTTGAGCATTTGAGAACTTTTGTAAGAAATGTATTGAGAAAAAGGGAGGGAATAGTTGGGGTACAACATAGGAGTGATTTCTTATTTTTATTTATCCAAGATATAGCTGAGAATTGCCATCATTATTCTCCTCAAAAACTGTGATCATTTGTGAGTTTTGATTAGAGCACTACTGAAGATGTATCTAGACTTTTCTGGTCTTTGTTTAGCTTATTTCTGTAGAACTTGATTTCTCCAAAAGATGTTATTTCTGTTTGTGAACTGCTGAGCTTGAGACTTATTGCTTGTCTTGTTCTTCTGATGAGTAGTTCAGAAACTACTGATTTTTATGTAGCGTAGAAACACTAGATTGAACTTTAGGAACATGTCTTGTTTTCAGAGCTACAGGTATCAACTTATCTGAAATATAATGCTTTTATTTTGATATGTGATTTCTCCTTGAAAGCATGTTTATATTTTTGATAAGCGAGACAAAAATGTTGAGAATGTATTTGATGAAACAAAAATATATAGCATTTTCCATCAGAATTACATAGATTAAATTACAGATTCTTCGATTATTATGTCGTATTTTATCCCTTTTTGTAGTTTTGAATCATATTTCAGGTACTTTTCATTTGCAAGGCATAAATAAGAAAAGGAAGAAAAAGAATGGAAAAATGAAGAAGAAATGACTTTAAAACTGCAAAAATGTATTTTTGTACAAGAGAAGTGTGCCGCCCGCTGTAATACCCTAAATTTGTCCTACCCTTTTCACTTTTATCTGACTTATGCATTTTACACTTTTCTCATGTACATAATCTTCAGTAGGTCATCTAGCACATCATGCATCATTAGTCAATAATTTGGTATGGGATCAGGGATTTCGAGGAATTAGGGTTGCTCTATGGCTTTGATGGTTCTCATCTTCACTCAGACTTGAATCAAATGGTTTCCTAAGTAATGGTGGTTTGTGAAGCTAGGTTTTTATGTTCATGATCATTGAGAGTTTTATTCTCATCAAGCTACAAAGATCATCAAGTTCTCTATCAAAGGGTTATGACTTGTTAATCGAGGGGTTTTCATCGACACCTCAAATAAAGACCTTGTAAGCTAGGGTTTTGGCCTTCTCAGCATCTCAAATGCATCTCAAGAGGATTAGGGTTCTTATCCCTGGTGCTTGTGCTTGCTAATTCAATTGAGGCTCATCAGAGGTGTTTTTTTCCTCTGCTCCAAATATCATTGTCAGTTTGAAGGACTCTTCAGCGCATTTCTGTTGTGTTGGAGTGAAACATAAGTGCAAGTAATGGCAGGGGAAGTGAACTCGTCGACTCATTCAGATTAACTCAATTCTGGTTCTCATCATTATTACTGGTCGTTGGCAATATAAGTTGGTTTGGAATTGAGATTGAATTGGAGTAATTGATCTAGATTTACTGATTGGTGAGTGTTCATTCAAGTTGCCTAATGTGTTTAGGTAAATCAAATTTTGCTCACATAGTTGAAGGGTTTGTGGATGAGGTTTTCTTAAGGAGTATTCTAGTGCCATTCATCATCGTTCAATATTATTTCGCATAGCCAAAGGTTCTTTCAAAAAGTAAGACATAGTAATTCGTGTATGGGTGCAAAGTCAAAGGGGATTGTGAATTCTAGTTCTAAACTGAGAAAGGAAAATCCTATTGAATCTTTTGAAAGAAATATCATGTGAGTTCAAAGACTCATGAGGCATATTTTTAGATCAAGGTATTATGACTTCAAATATCTAATACATCATCATGCAAAACCAAAAGGGAAAGATACATATCCAGATTTGTCGATTAAGAGAAAAACCCATTGCAATTTCAAGATGTTACAGAATATCATGGTTTATCCAAATTCACCATGTCACGTTCCAGGTTTCGATCATAAGCCTATTCACATATTGGAAATAATAGAAAACCATTATAAATTCAGACCATTACACCAATGACCCACAAAAGAAACTATTACAAATCTATATTACATCATTTACAAAGAAACAAATTGCAAGTAAAATCTAATTCTAAGCTCCACCCCTTCTTCATGCTTCAAGGCCTTTTGTAATGCGTCCTCTTACAGGTGGCTTCACAAATAAACCCTAGCCCTGTATATTTCAGAAAAGTCAGAAATTAAACCAACATCCAACAAAATTTTAACAAAATCCTAAAACATTTCCTAACTGCCTTTCCAAATAGAATTAAAGCTGTCATGAACTTACAACTGTCCAAAAAGCCTCTTAACTCTTATAACATAAAATTCCAAACTACTGAAACTAATTCCTAACACCCCTGTTCAACAGAAAAAACTGCCCACAACCTATAACTAACTGTAATCAACCTTACAAAATAGCCTCTTAACTGTCAATACAGAGATAACAAAACAGGATTTCATAACCAATTCCTAACATAATAAGCCCCATTTAACTTCTAACTGAATCCTAACTTCAAAAAAACTAAACCCCTAACCGTTTTCAAGACCATCTTCTAACTGTCAAAACAGAATTTCAATAAACTCTCAACATAATTTCCTAACCCCTAACTGCCAAAACAGATTTTCCAAACAGAATTCTAACTATCAAAGCATAAATTCCATAACCTCTCTCTTAACTCTCCAACAGAATTTTCTAACTGATTCACAACTTTTCCTAACCATTTCCTAACCGAATCACCTAACTATCTTCTAACCAATTCTGTAACTAATTCTCACCCTTCTAACATTTTTCTAACATCCAAGATAAAAAATGGATAACCAATAACATAGCAGAATGGAGAAGGAAAAAAATCGGTTAGAGGACTCACCAGAAATCCTTATTTTTTGGATTGCTTCAACCATTCTCAGCATCTTTCAACCTCTTTCATCATCACCTTCATTCCTCATAGTCAGCAGAAGAATCACAGAGAAACTCCAAAAAAAACTCTAATCTTCAACGCATAAATCTTCTCTCTCTCTCTCTCTCTCTCTCTCTCTCTCTCTCTTCCATCATCTTCATCAAGCTGCAAAAGCTTATTTCAATCTTCATCTGATACCTTTAGCATCAAAATGTGAAGCATAATGATTCTGCAATTGAATCCGAGCCACAACATCAACGTTGCAAAACCTTCCACATCTCGTACAGAATAACAATGCTAACATCAACAGGAATTGCGCATCACAAAAATTCAAAAGGAAGAACACAGAAGAAAGGAAAAGAAGGAGGTAGACGAAGCATAGAAGAAGAGAAGGGAAGAAAATAGTTGTTACCTGGGCTTCACAAGCTCTGTCTCCGGTCTTCTCACCTTCGTCATTATCGAATCACCATCGGAGTGTATCCGATAGGTAAGTCATTGCGAACCCCCTCTCTCCTTCATCCCCTCTCTTAGCTATTGATACATATGCGAAGAATAAATAGTGTAAGTGTAAATCCACCCTTAAATCTTCTCTAACAATATTCACCGCCATTCAATTGGATCTTGAAGCCCCCTAGGATTTTCTATTACTTGATGAGATTTATGAGGGATAAGAAGAATTGATACGGATAGATTGAAGATAATAATGGAGAAATTAGGCCATCACGGTTGAGGGTGGAAATTAGTGCTGAGTATCGAGGTTAGCGGCGAGGTCGGAATCGCCACGGAGATCTGGATCATTGAACGAATCTATGAGCCACGATTTGAGACAGATATGATTTAGGGAGAGACGAGTGGAGACGATCTTTCGCAGTGGCCGAATATTAATGTTCGATAGGAGAAGGTAATGAGAGGAAGGTTGAGCCGCCACGTGAGAGAGGAAGACGATTGAAGAAGTCCAAGGGTCATCACTGTAACCTAATCATTTTCAATGTTTTTTTGTTTAATTCTTCTTATTATTTTTTTTCTTAATATACTGATTTGGAATAATATATAAGCTTTTTTTTTATGTTACACAAGTGGTGGTGGACCGAGCCATACCTCTCCCTTAGGTCCATTGGTTTTTTTTGGAGCCCATGCTGGTAGCAAAAAAAGGTGCTTTTGCATTTTATGTGTTGGGCCTGTGCTTGAATTTTTCCTTAAGCCCATTATATTTTTTTTTTTTGGAAAAGCCTGATAATGAGAACAAAAATAAAACTGCCCTTGGACTCAACCTGATGGGCCCTAGCGCCCAGATTGTTGCATCACCTCCTGGCTTCAGCTCAGCACCCTCCTGAATTTAATAATTCTTTGATAGGTTTAGTTTTTTTTCGTGTTCATTTTTATCAATTTGATACATGATAAAAACAATATAAAAGACGAAAAATAGTAGAGCATAATAGAATTTTTTAGGAATTAATTCTTTAGTTTTCTAGAATTTTCTTTAAAATAAAAACTAATAAAAATTATTTTCCTTTTAGTTTCTAAAAAACTAATAATAGAAATACTTTTCTCTTTTAGTTTTTATTCGCATTTTCGTGCTGCTTCGCCATGTTATATTTTGATGCGTTTGTTCATTGTGCAAGGTACATTTTTTGTGCTTTCGATCATGTGACATAACATGTAGTTATGTGATCTAAGCGAACGGATTATGCTCGCTTGCGATGCGACATGCCTTATTTCTCACCGTCCTGAGAAATTCATATCGTATTATATGTTGTCCTGATACATGCGATACTTTATGATGTCTTGTGCAGGAACTTCTGATTACGTGTTACATTCGCAACATGCATTTGCCTTTATCTTAGTTGGATATTGTTTATGACTTTTTTTGTTTCTTGGTGAAGCTTGCTCAACGTGCACTCCCTGCTTCTCCAGTGCTTTCGTCTGCTCTTGATGATTTGCTTACTTTGGTAGTCTCCGCTACTACCTTCGTACTTCTTCGCACTTTATTACATTTATTTATCGCTTTTCTAGATGTCATGAGAAGTAGGATTTTATTACTTTCAAGATACCATGATAAGTAGGAAATAAATAGCGTGCGCTCGAAGTCGCTGTTTAAAGACCTGTAGTAGGCATTCCGCACTTCATTTGCTATATATGTTGTGCTTGTGTTTGTTTACTTTCTTGTTGATCGATGAGTCACTTAGTTTAGAAATTGAGTCACGACTTCACTCTCAGTGCATGCTCCCTATAGGATTTTACCGCTTTCCATTATTTCTTGTTGATCGATGAGTCACTCAATTTAGAAATTGAGATCACGACTTCGCTCTCATTGCATGTTCCCTATAGAATAGTTTTGTTAGACCTTCTTTGGCATGCTAACCTAGGTAGGATCTCTCCAGGTGTACTCTTGAGCTTATTAGCTTGTTTGCTTCGTCCTTGTACATACCATGTTCCCTTAGGATGCGCTTGCTTCATTTGGACGCAAGTTTGACCTTAGGTTGTAAGCCACGCATGCTAATATTAGGTAGAAACTTCCCCTTTCATCCTTGACATAGGACTACCATTGTATGATAACATTAGGTTAGAGATAGGCTAGTCTCCCTTAGACTCTTTTCTTCCCTTTTGCGTATGCATCTAAAACTAAAACTTCTTTTCTTAGCAAATCAAAAACATGCTAATCACACTTAAACCCCTTTTAAAGGCAACAAAAACACAAACCAATTCAAACCATTTTGTGCACTCGAGCACCTTTTCTCTAAAACCCTTTTCAGGTAAGGACATGATTAATTTACTTCTGTGCCAACGCATAAGTCTCCAAAGGTCGAGCTGCGGCAGAAGGCGGAATTAACTTCGTCCATGAAAAAACACAAAACAAACAAAACACATGAGTCGAACTACGATAGCTCTGATTCCTCAAAAAGGATACGTAGGCATTGGGGTAGGGCCCAAGCGAGCACAATTTTATTTTCCCTACATTCTTTTCTCATTTCTTTTACATGCATTCTCCCTTCAGTAGTATAGTAAACAATAAGCATAGATTGAACACACCCATAAGATAGACAACAAGAGTGGATACCATAGAGTACTACGGGCGCGTGGGGTGCTAATACCTTCCCCTTGCGTAACAGACTCCCTTACCCGATCTCTCGGTTGCAAGACCGTGACTTCTCTCTTCTCAGGTTTTCTCAATGTTTACCTTTCCCTACATGTGGGATAAAAGACGTTTGATGGCGACTTCATTGTTTGATGATTTTCAGTCGGTTGTTTCACCCGCCACAAGGCTATTACGATCGACACAAGTTGAATTAGAGTGCCGTCCGCCACAAGGCCATTACAAATGACAATTTGAATTACTGTGCCCCTCGACATGCTCACAATACGACCGACACACTTGTGATTATGTTCCACAATTCAAGCATCTATGAAGTCTTCGCCAATATAGCATATTAAGCGCATGTCACCTGGATTTTCTCCGCATAAACAACGTGAATCATGGAAGTTACCTATTTTTCCTCAACAAAAATGGACTCTATATTTAAGCAAGCAGTTACCAGCTTTCTCTGGCTCGCTCCCTCCTGGATCTTTTGTGTTTGATTCTCTCTAGCCTGCACCTTGAACAATTATTATTACGAAGTTTTATTTTTCTGCAAACATTATTTTCTACTTGTATTGTGCTTTTTCATACCTTCTAGTTTTAGAACTCAACATTAATTTTCTGGTAATTTTATTCTGTAGGCAGTAAAAACCTCACCGTCAGAGCAGTATTTTTCCACATCGAAGAAATACTGCAACATTAGTTTGTTTCCAGAACTTCAGAAATTGTTTAGGATTACTCCGATTTTATTCGAGCTATTTTTACTTAAAGTCAATACTGTCGGCTTGTGGAGAATATACACATTATTGGAATTCACTGCTTTGTATTTGCTTTCAGGTTCATATTTTAATAAGCATATTTATTTATTCTCTGCTATGCATCCGTTGTCGAATTTACATTTTAATTTTATGATTTTCTGCAATAATATTATGTTTGGCTAGATTCCCCATACCAGTATGTATAACTTGACCGAAAAGGGTTCGGTAATTAATTGACATTATTATTTTTACAAAAAGAATAATTTTCTGGTTTTAATTTCCAATTTAATATTTAAATGTTTTTGTACGGAAGTAAGAAACAATCTAAGGTTAAAATTCAATAGAGCAGAAGTTTGAGGTTTTACCCGGATAGTGGGTATTGAAACATTAATTTTAAAAATAGCGGAAGCCCTTTAAAGTTAATTGAATCTTATTTGTTTTAAAAAAAATACTTTTGAGTTTTAAGTGAAATAGCAGAAGCGCTCATTTCGAGCTTAACTAATATGATCTGATTCAATAGAACGGAAGTTTGAGACAAAGGTTTTTAAATAAATAGTTTCGCCGAAATTATGTTTTAATAGTAAAAACAAATGCCGATAACATACTGAACCCCTTAAGTTAACGAAATACATACCGGTGTCCCTCATTAATTATTAAATTCTAGTTAATTCCCTATTAAACCCAAACACCCAAATTTATTATTAGCCTTATCTCTATATAGTAACCTTTAGATAACAATAGTTTTGGACTATCAGTCCTTGTGGGTTCGATATCTTTTAAAACTATGCGATAGACTGTGCACTTGCAGTCACTACACCTGATAGACTCATAAAGTCGCGATCATGTTTTTGGCGCCGTTTCCGGGTGTTGTACCCCAAAATTTTCCCTCTCATTTTATCAACATTTCTCATCACAAGGCTCTTTGAACTCAAGACCAAGCTAGGGTTTGCTCTACTCAAGACATCTCCTTGCACTGTTGACCTAAATTAGGGTTTGAGTTTGCATAGGTATTTTTTGACTTACAATGCCCAAAGTGACTCTCATACTTCATGTTGGACCCATAAGTTTGACCATACCAAGTTCCAAGCCTTGAATCAAATTTTTACCCATCCAATTGGACAGTTGACCTAGAAATCAGCTGTATTGGAGAAAAAGTCAACTGTGGCCAATTTACAGTCAAATCTCATGAATTTTGACCCATATCAACATCATGAACTCATATGAATCATTTGATCAAGTTTGGATCACAACTCCACAATAAATTTGATCAGATCACCAAAAGGGCAAAATAGTCATTTTTAGGGTGTTGACTATACAAAGGCAATTTCTGACTTTTTGACCTAGCCAATGGCAAATTGGGCTCAAGAATGGACTCAATGGAATCATCTTGACCTATTCAACAAGTTCAAAAGACCTCAATTGCATTAGATTGATAGATGAATTTTTCAGTCAATTGATCAAAATTTGACTGTACACTGAAAAGTCAAACTTTGACTTTTTGGTCAAAATCAAGTGCCAAGGATCATTTTTCATCAAGATGTGTCAAAACATGAAACTTTTTCATCAAGAAACCCATTTTTGCAAATTAGGGTTTAAAGTTGAAAATTTTCATAACTTAGAAT